CCTTCTGGCCTTTTGGGAGGGTGTGCGTCTCAGCCCCACAATTCTCCCCGCCGTGATTCTCGGCGTGGAGTTTTGGGGTAGTTATAGTCCACTCATCTTAAAGTGGCCAAGTTTGGACAACACTGATCTAAGCTGTCGCAGCAGCTCTTGCCCTGAGCCAGGGGTGGGATAAATGACCCCTGAGGTCCCTTCCCCTTGGATTGCGCAATAAATGCCCAGAACTTTTATTTCATCACTCCCTCGAACGTCGGCCATCAAAGGCCTTAACCCTCCTTGAAAAAAGTTCTTTTTATCCCAGCCTTTCATTTCTCTCTCCGTCTTATATCCTGCTGGGCTTCACCAAGACTCCTGGGGGTGTATAAATCCAGCGGCTTCCCGGAGCCAACGGAAAAGATCCGGACAGGCTACTCACCTCCTTTGCAGGAAAAAGTTGGGAAAGGTCAGCCTGGCTGCAACCCGAAAAACCACCCTGCGAGGTAGGAAAGGCGCCTTTCGTGGAGGATTGCAGCTTCGAAAGGGGGTCCCCGAAACCCCAGTCCAGAAATGAGAAGGCGACGCCTGCAATTCAGTCCTAAGGTTTCAAAGTCCACAGAGATGCGATGTTATGACCATGAGCAGCATCAGCGAAAGAACAAGTGTGGGTTTAAGAAAGCAGACAGCACAAATATCATGCGGACTAGCAACTTCGTCTAAATTTGTTTGCAGGGCTATTCGGGCAGCGTCTCCTTTGGCAAAGGAGGCAGAAATTCGAGCAGCAGCAATCGTCAAAATGCAAAATAACGCAGAAAACTCTTATATGCGACTTACCCTTCCTATTGCCGCAAGTATCTCGAGCGCTAAATAGAGATTGTGCCCTGTATGGTTATAATTCCTATTGCGCCGAGATAGGTTCTGGGATTCGTAGTCCTCGCGTTATCGGAGCTCCGCAGCAAGAAGGCAGGTCCGCCGCTCTGGGGACTACAACCCCCAGAGAGCCTCGCGAGGGGAAAAAAGAGGCCGTCGAGGTAAGTCTAGATCAGAGCCGCACCACCCTCCTGATTGGCCTTCTCCATCGTATGAAGACGGGCCATGGAGTTAAAAGCCAATCAGAAGCAGGGGAGGAGGAGCTTGAATCTCAAGAGAGCTGTGGATTGGCTCACAGGGAAAAAAAGAGTGGGCGTGTTCCTCATGCCACCTCTAAATAGATTAACCCACTAGGGTGGGGACAGAATTAGGAAGTGCTTAGGTGGTGCAAAGTTTCTCTCTCTTTAATTTTTTTTTTTGTGCAAAACTACGAAACTCCCAGGCTACCTTTTGGATCCCCTTAATGGTCCAATAAGGGGAAAAAGGCGGGACTCAATTAGATCTTATTTCAATGGGGTGGGGAGAAAAATGCTGTTTGGGGCGGAAAAAGCCTTCAAGTTGGCTTCAATCTTTCTTTCTTGCCCGACTAGTTTGGGAAGTTTAAATCTGTTTTTTTTCTCAGCCCGCCTTAGGCGAAAGATTTTCCCCCGTGAGGAAGGAGCGTCAAAAGTTTAAAAAAAAAAAATCAAATAATATAGGAGTCTTGTCGTGCATTTGAATGAATTATTCTATTTGAATTCATATGTCTTCTGTTTTTGCTGTAAACCGGCCAGAGTTGCTCTGTAGCGAGATGGGCAGTGACAAATTTGGAATAGACATAAATGCAAATAAATAAAAAGGGCAGCATGCCTCTGAGCATGTGCAGAGTGATTTCCCTTGGGAAAACCATCTCGCCCTTCTTCATGGGGTGGGGGGGAAGGATCTTCAAGAATCCTTTAAAATGACATGGGCGCATTACGTTACAGAAATCATCCCCAGCTATTACTGCAAAAGGGAAAAAAGGTTGACCCCCAAAATCTGCAAAATGGGGGCACCTTTGGGGTACAAAACTGTCCATGGGCCACCCCTAAACTAGAATGTCTCGGGGGCCTCTTTTGCTAAGTGAATATTATGCTAAATTCAGGTGGATTCCCATGTTTTGCTAAGCCAGAAACAAACCGTGTTATCTAGCCTGCTTGCTTGTTCAGTGTCACATCCAAGCCAGGCTAAACAAACTAACGATGATTAATCTGGATTCTTGGTTGGAAAGGACCCAGAATCCTTGTTGTTCAAGATCTGAAGGTGCTGCTGTTTGTAAATGGCTTGGGAGGGGGAAAATATTGTTAGAAGGTTGGGGCATGTAGACATTTTTATATATTAAGACATTTAGATGTTTAAACATTTATCTTTATATATTGTATAATATGAAGTAAAAGCAGGCCTAGCAACCTTCTAACCTCAACCTTCTAACAATATCCTGCTTTTCCAAGGAACAGAAGTCGCCTTGCATTGATCAAGGAGTGGGAAAGGATAGATCTTGTGAATTGACTATCTTACATTAGTAACAAAGTGTTCAATTTCATTTTTTGTTTTTTTCCCTGCATATAGAAATGTGCTTGGGAGGGGGAAAAACATCCTGCTTTTTCAAGAAGCAAAAGTTACCTTGTATTTATCAAGGGTTGGGATCGATCTTATGAATGGATTGACAATCTTCCATGAGTAACGATGTGCTCCATTTCTCTTTTTTGGGCTGCCTATAGAAAGGTGCTTGTCATTACAAAAATAGGAACAGTAGTCATGGAGAAGCTTAAAAAGCCTGAAGGACGATGAAGACTATATTGCTTATTTAACCAATTGTCCATGGGGGGGAATCGAAAAAACATTTTGATTTTTAACCAGCCTGGTTTAAAAGCCAAGGCTCTTGAATGATGCTGGCTTTTATTGCTGGTTTGCTTTGATAAATAAATAAATTGCTTCCTTCCCTGTCGATGAGCTGGTATAGGGTGAGCGATAGCGATTTTAAGAAATGGTTCAGCGTGGATCCCTAGAAAATTGCTCGCTCTGTTAAACAACGTGAAGCTAGCAAGCTGGACCCCAGCTCTCGTTTCCAGGGTTCGGTTGTATTTCTGGTGAATTTCGAACCAGCATTGGCTGTCTGTAATTATCCGTTCGAAAGGACAGTGTGGACCTCGTTTTATTTTTATGGAAAAGTTTTCTGGCCGGCAGCTTTGGAGCCACACAGTGAGACTAGGCGGTGACAAACTTTAAATATAAGTTTATATTTAAATATATATATTT